AGGAAAGAAAACTAAAACAAAACCAGGAAGCTGACTGTAGTAAATAAAGAATAGGTATCCTTCCCAGCTGGTTGTTGACAAGTTCCCCCCAGTCTCCATTGTGCTCCCCCCCCAATGCATCCAGTCTCTTTATCTCAGTCAGACCTACTAGATGGAACACTTTTCCTAGGATTTCCAAAAGAAACCTTGCCATTTCCAGGTTGGAGGAGAGCCACAAGATGCAGAATGTACAGGGGAAATAATTCATTTCACTGTTTGCTAGTGTCAGTGTCCTTCCTAGATGTTTGCAGTATCTGCCAGATTTGCTCTCTTGCTATTCCTATAGGAGCTCTTTGGACCCAGCGGTTGGTGGGATTTAGTCTGCCTTGTCCTTCCTGCAGTCACAGGGCAAGGTCCTTGGAGAGCAAGATATCCCCAAACATCGGCTGATGCAGCCATCAAGCCTTGCATTTATGCATAGTCTAAGGAGACTGCAGGGTTTTTAGGTGCCCTCCAAGTTGTGAGTGCAGCTGTGTTTATTAAATCAACACCTGTAAGCCAGTGACTTAGCACAGACACTGAGCAACAACAGGCAGTTAGTTCTTGTGTGGGTAACTTCTCCCCAGGGGCATGCTTTACACTGAAACTCATTAGACAAATGGAAAATATAATGCTCTGAGTATCCTATTAGGGACAGCTGCGCACACAAACAAAGTAATAACTGGTTGTCAGTGGGTGCAGGGCTGCGCGTGTTTGTACGAGCACACACATATACGTGTATATAGGGTTTACAGGCATTGTAGGGGCAATCATATGGTGAGTGTATGTGCGTGAAACTTGCTTCCAGCCTGACGTGCATCAATAATGGGGCTAATGAAAAGGCTCTAAGCACATAGCTTCCCTATTACTTGCAAAATTCAAGGCGTAAAACTTCTGGATCCTCTAGCAGCCAGAATATGATCTGCTTTCAGCCCACAGCCCCATTTAGGAGGCAGAGCGAGGTAACCCTGTTAACCCTGTTTGCTTGTCTTCTGTTTGAAGCCAGCTGCCCAGCAGCCTAAAACCAGTCTTCCTGAAACTTGATAGGTGAAAAGCTCTACGTGTTGAAAGCCACTAATCACTTCCATAATGTGATAAGTAATAGTGGCAGCCACCCACACTCCCTCCTTGCTTCAGAAAGAGAGAGGTCTTTGCAAGCATGGGTTTACCTGTATCCCTTCAGTCCTTTGTCTCAGGCAGCGATGCTACAGGCTGAGTTGTGATGGGGACTCCTGCCCAAGTCTGTAAGGTTTTTTTCATCATGCAGCAACTCCAAACCAGAGACATCGAGGTGTGCAGCTGCATACCCAATCTGCTCTCTCAGACTTACAAAATATTAAAAATACTGTCTTTTTTTTTCCAGGCCAGGCATCTCTCCAGGCTGAGAATTGAAAACTCTTTCTTTCTTGTGTAGGATATCTCTAGGCCCCGGCCACCCCAAAGAGCTTTGCCAGCTAATCCCGTCCCAACCAGACCCAGAGCCTGCCTGGGGAACAGCCCTGCCATCTCACTGCCTCCCGCGCACCCCAGAACCCCAGGACAGCTCCAGCCTGCAGGAGAGGTAGGCACTAAATGCAGTGATAGGAAGCACAGCAGCATCCCCTCACCACTGGGGAATAAAGTACTCTGAAGGGAGTAACCTTGCTATCATACCACAAAACACCTTCATGCACAGCCCCAGTGGGTGGAAATGGAGAGGCTTTATTGGTTGCCTTTATTGCAGGTGCCTCTGTTTTTACTTGTTCCTTATTAATCATTTACTGTGTTAAGCAAAACGGTTAATTCAGTCCTCCACATTCCTGAGCACTTCCTCAGATAAGACATTTGTGTGCGCGGGGCTGAGTGATGGAGGGGGTCAAGGTGTGTGTGACCCACAATGGTCAGTGAAGAGCAGCAAAACAGAAAAGTCCACACAAGACTTGAGGACCTCAGTAATGAACAGAAATTTTCTCCAGTCTCTCTAGCCATGGCTAAGGAGATGCCTTCTCTGCAGGGAGTGTTTCCCAAAATTGTCCTTAATAAGGACAGTTAATAAGGGTCTTCGCTTGCTGAGTTCAGCTCCCTACAAACTGGACCCCTTAACACAAAACACCTCCACTCCACGCACTACAGGTGCTGCCTCCAGCCTGCAACATACTTGAGGCCAGCTGTGAAAAACAGAGAAAACTGCATGAATTCCATTGTGCCCCTGGTGGGAGAGTTTCCAATGTGATGCATTAGGGCGTGATTGCATGTGAATGGAGACAGGCTTCCCCTGGCCAGCTGTAACATCAGCTCCAGGAGAGGGCAGGGGCAGCATTTGCTCTTTCATCAGTGCTCACTCTTCTCTCTTTTCCCCTGTTTTCCATCTCACCCAGAATACTGGTGTCAGGACGGCTGGAGCAGGGAATGTCTTGAAAGTGGGACAGCCAGGCTCCTGTGGGCACTCATGAAGCAGTCAGTTCCTGGCTTGCCGTGACCTTCACAGGGGACTGGATGGCCTTCATCACCCAAAAAAGAGATTCACGGCCACAGACAGTGTCTTGGTTCTTCTCCTTTAACCTCACCTGTTTCCTATGTGACTCAACAAGCTGCAGTCAGGCTTGGCGAGGGCGCACCCAGGAACTGCACCGGTACATGCCAAGCTGAACTCAGTGCTCTCTGCTGATAGCCTTTTCCATATAGGGATGACTTGTTTATACGGTATTTAAATATTATTGTGCAATATCCAATGCAGGGATGGGGTGATGGGGGTTTCACATGTTTTTAATCAGTTATTTAAATGTTACCAGGGAGAACAAGCTGTGAATGCAGGTGCTGGCCCCAATGGGCTTTCATGTAAGACCCAGCCCTGTTGGCTTCCTCAGCCCGTCCATGCAGCTGCAGGAGCATACGTTGGTGCTATACAGAAACCACTGCCTCTTGGGAGAGCAGAAGGCAGCTGTTGATAACTTTCTTCAGCTTATTCTGAGTTTACAGTGGGTGGGAAGTGGGGCCACAACAGGGAGCAAACCATGGAAATATTCCTGGTTAAAATAATTTGTGGGTCACTGTGGATTTTGATTAGCTTTAATAGAGCAGATTAATTATTTTTTCCCATACTACTATCTTCAGCAAGAGCATTGCAACCTGTGTGTCCTCCATCACTCGCTTGTCTTGCCTCAGTGCTGTAAGACCTGACAGCATCCCCAGTGTGGCCCGTGTGCTCTCATCTGTGTCACTGGGACACAGTCAAGGTACGACACAGAAACTCTCTGGCCAAGAATACAGGGCAAATGGCCAGAAGGAAGCTCAGCAAAAGCTAATCCTGAAACCTCCTCTCCAGCATACGGTACCGTGGGTAATCAGTAGGCACTTTTGCATGGGTCTCCTCAGGCTTCGGTCTGTGCTGAGCAGTAATTCAGCATGGGCTGTCTGCTCCCCATACCAGTGAGAAACCTACCTTAAAATTGCCCAGGTGGTAAAACAGCAGAAATATTAATGCAACACGTGGTGCTTTTGTAGGGCAGCTCTCTTACCCCAGGTTTTTTCTCCACGATGCAGATGGAGAGAGCTGTCTGTGTGCACTTTAAGTAGCTGATTTTCTCCTAATGGTTTGGGCTTTTGTACATTTTTTCTCAGGATTTTAAATGACAACCTTTTGTTATGCCATTTTTTTTTCTTTTTTTTTGGTTTGAAATTATTTCCTAGGAGAACACAGGGAATTCTGGAGCTATGGTTACAATAACAATTCTGTTGTGTCTGATTTATTATGGACAAATCCTCGAATGGTGTGATTGCTGCTGCACATGTGAGAAACTGTATTATTGGCATAAAGAAAAAAAAGTCTTGTCTGATAGTTCTCGTTCCCTAAGCTCTACTGATTGAAAAAACAGATAAACCCTGTTAAATCATTAAATTTGTAGTTATATGTAGCAGTATAGCTATAGCATGACTTAAACCATACTAGTTTTTGCAACTTTACTACCTCTTTCTCCACAAGGAAACAGTACACAGGGTGTGTGTTGATTTTCTGGTTGATTACTCCTTATCTTGATCATTTTGGGCCTTTTTTTACCTTCTGTATGCCTGGAAACAAAGCAACCTAAAAGACTTCTCTCTGAAATAATGGATGGCAAGTGAAAGACATCAGCTTTCTAATCTTTATATGTCTTTTTTCTATAGTTGGATTATATTACATATAAACAACCTATATTCAAAAAACACCCAAATTTATTGGGTTTCTTGGGGTGCAGGTAATGTGGCTGTGTAATGTCGTGTTTTACTGCTCACAAGTGGAGCAGTAAGCTGGGCGCATACTGTACACACACTGTAGTACTACAGATGCTACCACAAGAACTTGATCTTATATCTGAGCCCTTGCTGAAGACAGCAGCAAAGTTCTGCTACAGCCCTTGATCTTTATCAAATGGCCACCAACAATCACTAAGAATATTCTCACTGCATTTCATGTAAACATGGGATGAAACTTTTAAAAGTTTCCCCTGAACACACAAAGCTCAGAGAACAACTGGGTGTGCCCAAACCCTAATGGAAAACTTTATTCTGGAACATCATAAAGTCTCCAAAAGGTAGTTTTAAGTAAGCCATTTTAATTTTTTATATGTGTGCAAGCTGAGTGAGTAAGAACAAGGGAACTGCAGGAGGAGTAAAAGATGGTAAAATGTGATTTTTTTTTTTTGAAAATAATGTTACTTGGGAGAACATATACCAAAATACATCTCACTTTCTCCTGTGTCCACATATTAAAGGTTTACAATAATGCTCTCTGTGCATCTATGCAAATACTTGAAGAATGCAACTCATTGTGCCTTTTGCTAGTTTTAATAAATTTGTCTGTTGTCATTAACAAACATTCTGTTACTGTGTACTATTTGGTTCAAATCTTCATTTTCTGTGTGGCACTTGTCCAGAGATGGCAGGATATCTGAAGGAATTGCTTTTACGAAATGCAGTTCTAGGCAGGGAGAAGGACGAGTCCTATTCACAATCTATTTCTAAAATAAAATGCATAAAACATTATACCTATTAGGATGCCAAAACCAAAGCCAGGGTGCACGAGTTGGATTATTTTCTGCTACCAAAGGAGGGCGCTGCTGTTTTACTCTCTGCCCCTGATGCTCTTTCGGCTGTACTCAGCTGCCCTTCAGCCTGTTTATCCTTCACGGCTACACCAATAAGATCAGAGAAATCATTAAAAACTTGCAGATCCAACTACAAGGTTTGGGTTGGGGTTTGTTTTTTTTTTTTTGTTTGTGGTTTTTTTGGTGGTTTTTTTTTTTTAGAAAAAGCCTTTATTTCCCTTTCCACATTTAAAAAAAAAAAAAAGGACTGAAATGTTATTTAAATAAGAGATTGCATATTCCTCTCCCCCGCAAGCTGCATTTGCTCAGGGATGCCCAGACTCAGGTATAATCAGGTCAGCATCTCAGACAGCATCAGGGTGTACTGTGGTCCAGGACTCACTCAGCCAGAGCTGCCTCTGTCCCGAGCCAGCCTGGCAAAGCCAGCTCAGGCTTCGCCGCTCCTGGTTTGGGATTTGCTGTGAGAAAATGGGCTCCAGCCTCCCTGTGCTACCAGACCTAGCAGCAAGATGGGAGAAACTTTTAACTGCAGTAATACCTTCCTTTTTCACCTTCCAGCTCGAAATGTTATTTCTCCTATCCCTTCATCCTCACCATTGATATACATCCCAGGGGGTCCTGAAGGCAAGCTGTGAGCAAGAGTCCAGGTAACATCCATACTATATTGAGAAAGATGGAGAGAGGTGAACAGGACCGCTCTGGGATAAGCTGCATCCCTACAGCTCTGCAGAGCATCACCCACTTATGCCTGTTTGGCTTTTAACATGCAGCTCAGACCTCCTTCTGAACAAACAAACAAACAAAAAAAGAAAGAAAAGCTTTTGGGCTTAAATGATAGCAGGACAGGTCATGGGGCTCAGAGAGTTGGGAGGGTCTCCAAGGTCAAGACATTTCCAAAGAAAAAAAAAAATCACAGCCACTTGGTCTTTCAGGCTGAAAGATTTTCACAGACCACAACAAGTCTTGAAGATGGTGGCAGTGTTTCTCCTGACATGAGGTTTACCCTGCCAGAGTTCCCCAGCCTGAGTAGGGGCTTCCCCTTCCTCAAGTGAAGTCTCAATCAGGCCCAGTGGCTTCACCAGCCGCATCAACATAGTCTGGGCACCACAGCTGCTAAGGAAAAAACCCAAACAAACAAAACCCCACATAAAACTAATTAACACCGTGCTGCAGGGAAACTCCTGCACCTCACAAAAAGCAAAAACTGAAAAAGATTTCTCCGTCGGGGTCCTGTAAAAACACTTCATGGTTTGGGTCCTGCCACTGAGCTTAAGTGAGTGCCTCTTCCAAAATTCACCACATTTTGCCCATATTCACCGATATTCTTGGCCCATATTTGCAGAACAAGTAATTAAACACGAATGAGTAGAGTCTCAACAGCAGGCGTGCACCATTCAGTCCTTGTTTCTCACCGCCGTTTGAGATACTGGTGTGTATTTTAGAGTTCATGCAAGTGCCTAGAAAGGAAAAAAAAAAGACAAAAAACCACCAATCAATGACTCAGTCAGGGCCTGGAAATAAACACATCAATGGCCACCCAGAGGAAGGAGTGCGAGAGCAAACATTAGCCCTGCCAAGAATAAGAGATGGGAAGGGGCTTCATAGAGCAGCTTTGTTGCAGACATATCATACTTCAAGAGGATTTTAATTTTCAGTGGCTGCATGCAGTAAGGCCCAGGGAGGATTAAACACACCCCTTGCTGCCACAGCTGCCAAAGGTCCAACCCAAAAGCCCAGAGAAAGACTTGGCTTGACTCTACCAAGCCTTGGATAAGACACCACTGGTTTTATTTTCTGCTTTTCCTTTTTTAAATTGCTCACTAGCATCTGGAATATTGACACCATTCACCCAGCCTCCAGACCCTCGGATACAACTTGCTAGGTGTAGATCATGAATACTTTGGGTTTATCTTCTGGGGAGATGCTGGAGTTGTCCACCTCTATCAGGATGTTCTTGTCATCTCGGGTGACCGGTGCTTGCTGTCCACTCTGGAGAACTTGTGGTAGATTCCCTAAACTGACATCCATGTCTTTGAAGGCATGGAGTAAAAACACCCCCAAAATGATGGTGAAGAAGCCACAAACTGTCCCAATGATGTCGACTACAGTCATGGCAACCCACTCCTTAAAGAGGATGATGGAAGTTGTGATGACAATGGTGGTGAACAGCACATAGTAAATGGGAAACACTAAAGAGGTGTTGAAAATGTCTAGAGACTTATTGAGGTAGTTAATTTGTGTAGTGATGGATGCCACCAGTGTGATGACTAGGATCCACGTCAATGGGTGCTGCAGCACAGGGCGGCCAGCAAAGAAGCCCTTGATGGCAATACCCAGGCCCTTGACTGAGGACACGGAGAAGGCACCGATAACAGAGCAGATGGTGAGGTAGATGAGGATGTTTCTCTGGCCATAGCGGGGTGCGAGGTACAAGATCAGGAGGAAGCAGACAGCCAAGAGGATCGCAGCATAAGCGAGGAAACCTGGAAGAGGAAGAGAAGAAACTCAAAACTGAGCAGCGGGCATGGGGAGCAGTATGCACTGCTCAGCCCCGAGAGAGAAAACATGACCTCTGTACCTGGTGCTTTCAGCTTAGACAACATTTCATCCAGAGTGGTGACCTCCTCATCCTCTGGGGCATGTATCACCATCACGGTGCTGCCCACAAGGCTGAGCATGCAGCCCAGCTTTCCCAGCAGATTGAGCCGTTCTCCAAGCAAATACGAAGACAGGATGGCACTGCACGGGACAGAAAAATATCAGTTGGTGCTTTAAAGCCATTTAAAGAAAGAGCAGCAGATAAAATAAGGTAAAGAATGCCTTCATGTGATACAAAGACACAAATTTGGAGTAAATTTGTTGGATTCCAGTGTGTTAATACACAATCACATTGCATCTATTGACAGCTGAACTTGCAGAGGTGCAGGTGTGATCTCTAGATCACAGCTCATGTATCAGCAAGGTGAAAAAATGCTGAATGTGTTAGCACATCCTCAGAAATAATTTCAGGGTCTACAGATTCCCTCATGAGCTGTGGCATCATGAAGCCTTTAGTGCCCAAGGAAATTACTTCCAAGGACCAGTGTAACAGAGAAAAAAAACCCCAAACCTAACAACAACAGTTACATTGATTTTAACTAAATCATCAGAACTATTAAGCCCCGGAGAAACTCTGAAGGTACTGGGGCTATAAATATATCTGCAAGAATATATAGCTGTTGTCCATAAAAATTTGGGGCAAGACACCAGAGCAGTCCTAACTCTCAGTTTGCTTATGCACTTCACAATAAGAGTCCTCCTATAAAACCTTCAGTACATAGAGTCATGTATTTTGATATGAATCTCCTTTTTAAAAATTGAGAAATAGAGTTTTAGCCCTTTTGGCAACAGAAAGAAGTATAAAAACACCACATCAGAGCACCCTAAAAGCCTTGAAAATAAAAGGCAAACAAAAGACAGTCTAAAACAAGACTGATGTTTTCGACCCTTTTAGATTTTTAGTACTGTTCACTACAAGAACAAAACAAAACAAACCAGCCTTGAATTGGCTAAAAAACTGGAATAAGGAAGGAAGTAACACTGATATTTGCAATAATTTAACCTGAAGTGTACGTGGCTGCTATCTACATGCAGCATTTCCAGAAGGGCATGCTGCTTAACTCCGTGGTTTCCAAATGATCCCCCAAAAGGACAACAACTGTTACAGAGCTTTTTACAAAACACTGAGGCATTTTTTTCCTTTAGGCAGAATAGACCATATTAGAATCACTTCAAGTCTTTCCATCTTACAAGACAAACAGATGAACAAAAAAGGCAAATTGCAAACTATAGACACATGAATCACCTTATGAGCACGCTCAGAGCCCCCAGAGGCGTGACAATAGTTGCAGGGGCAAACGCATAGGCAGCAAAGTTGGCAGCTTCCCCTCCACCCACTAAACAAACACAAGAAAAATAAATACCAGTGAGTTACAGTGTACTTTTTGTGTTTTCTCTTGCGGGCTTGCAAACTAGTAAGACATCAGTTAGAGAGTGGGTTTTTTTAATGAGGGTTTCATGCTACTGCTAAACAGGGCTAGACAGCAGGTGAAAATCTCCCCATTACAAATTAATCCAAGCAGAGAGGCAGCCCTGGAGCCCACACGCGGAAGGGCTGGGGGGTGCCAGGGCTTGGCCATGTCACAGCTGCCCTGTATCAACTCAGTAAACCCCCATAGCCCAGCCGGGCAGCTACACTGGGCGTGGGTGTGATTAACAGGGGGGTGGGAGCTGCTGGGAGGCTGCTCCATGCCTACAACGTGTCTCCTTGGGGCTGTGGTGTCACCCTCTGGCTGAGCTGTCCTTGTCCCCTGAGCAGTGAGTATTGTGTGCTTGCTTATGGGTTGTGCTGCGGTGGTTGTGCAGCAGGAGCTGCAAGGGCAGAGCAATGTGGTGCGGCTGCAGCAGTGGCAGCCAGAAAAGACTGCTCTGGAAAACCTTCTGCTGCTCTTTGCACAGCTGTGAGTCCAATTTGAGAAAACACTGTAATGTGGCAGCATGAAAAGAAGGATTTAAGGTTTGCTCTAAGGCAAAACTTTGCTCAAGAAAGGAGCTGCTCCTAACACTGCTATCTCCCTTGTGCTGCAGCAGTAACCTTTCCTGGAGCCCCCAGGGATGCACAGGAGGCCGTTTGCCCTCTGCCTGCTACACAGGCAGACCAGGCAGCTGCCTTATTAAGACCTGGCTTTTCCTGCTTGTGATTGGGTAAAACTGAGCCAGCAAGTCCTACCGGGTGAGGTGAGATCCTGCGTGGCTCACTGCCTCCACTCTCCTTGAGGTACCTCTGCTGATGACGGGGGAACTGACCAGAATAAGGGCTTTAAGCCATCAGATGCTGGGCTCGTTCCACACCTGGTTCACAGGGAAAGACCCCTGAAAAGCTGCAAACTCAGGGAAACAGCCTCTACTTACTGGTTAGCAAGCCAGCCCACCAGAGCCAGTCCTTTAGGTAGCCATGGCCTCCATCTCCTGGGGAAGCAAAGCACACAGGCATGAAGGCGTTAACAACCATGTTCTTTGGGGTAAAAGATGAGAAACATCCCTCTGGAGAGGAGTAAATTGCAAGGAGCAGAGCGTGACAAAGAAAACAGCCTGGAAGGACAGGATATGCAGGCATGCCATCCTATGTGGAAATTACGTTGAGTCAAGGGATTAGCGGAAGCTGGAACTTAGGGCTGGACAATACAAATACAATAAAAGTTGTTTAATCCTGGGTGGCAATAGGAATGGCACCCACTGCCCCAAAGCCACAGAGCTTGGGATGCAGCCTGCCCTGCTGCAGCATGGAGCTTGGGTCTGCCCTTTAGCCCTGGGAGCTGTGGTCGTCCTCGCCGGTTCATCAGGGCGAATCGGCCCCTAAACCCAGCAACAAACACCTCACCTGAGGTCCCGTGGATGGGTCCTGTTTCGCCTTCCGTGTTCCACTTGCCTGTTTGCTATGGGGACTCCTGGAGCAGAGGGATGAAGGGTGGCAGGGGCTGCTCTGTGCTGGGTGCCCCCCACCCAAAGGCTGCTCCCTGGGACACTGTCACCCTGCATCCTGCCCGCGGGGAGCCTGCACTTCACCTCGCATTGCGCTGTCTCGCTGTGGAGTCTCGTGCACGGGCGCAAAGGTAAGGCAATGAGTTTTTTCCAAACCCAGCTCAAGAGTGATTACAGCCTTGAAAGACGAAGGGCGGAAAAACTGGTCGGTCGCTCTGTGCAAGTATGTGATGCCTCAGTTCATGTTGCTGTACGGTCGTGGTGAAGGCTTCCTGCGCCCTGTCCCAGAAGCTGTCTGCTCCTTTGGTACGCTGCTTTGTATCACAGTTGATTCATAGGGCCTCAGCCTGAACTGCCAGAAACCCTGATGTTAACTTTGTGTGGAACAGTCGTTATGTGACAGAGTTTCTGTTGAAAAATGATTCCTGGCATTGGAACAACTCAGTGAAAGAAAATGTGCATATAAATGAGGAAGAATGGACGTACTGTGTTGGGAACTAATCCAGCTCTGGTCTTAACCCACAAGCTGTTTGATGTAAGGAGCTTGAGCCTGGTGACATTGTGAACCCAGATTTTACTGGGTCAGAGAGAGCCCATGTTTTTGATAAGTCTGACCTGACCAGAGCTGTCAGCGACAGCAGTGTTTGACCTGCCTTGGAGAAAAGTGATGTGCTCAGATAGCAGGGGTGAAACACTGGGACTGAGTGATTAAGGGCGAGATATGGAAAGGAGGAATGAAGAGGCAGAGAGGAATTTGCTAGAGTTCAGCCTCTTCTGGTTCCTCAAGTTCCCAAATGCTCAAGTTCAAATGTTATGCTTTGGTATACTTTAGAAATTGCTGGGTCGTTTTGTTTTTCTGTTTGTTTTTTTTTTTTTTTTCTCAAAACCTCTTTTTGTCAGCTGCAGTCTTCCATCATTAATCTCTAATTCCTGGTTAAACATCCTGAAAAACAGGGGAGGGTTTGCTCTTTTACTCGCTTGGCTCTGTTGTGGGAGGAGTTCAAGGAGGGAAGGGGAACAGAGACACCTTCTACAATTGAAACAATACTGGTATTTCACTGTGCAAATATAAGGCAGAAAGCAAACCCAGGTGAGTTCAGCAGTTGTGTCCAGCCAGCCTAATGTCAGGGGATGAAGAGGACTTGAGACTGGACTGCGGCTCAGGTGCTGTTGCTAGCTTTGCTGCTCACCTGCGGGTTGACTCTGGACAGTCGCTTCATCGTTCTGTGTTCTGTGTCCTCATATGGGGACACAGTAAAATGGGGACAGTGACACTGACTTCCTTTGTAAAATGATTTAAGAATTGTTCTGAGGCCAGAACTGGGAAGCAGTAGTATTTTAATTATCATTATTTTGTTTTGTTGTTATGCAAGTAGGTCAGCTGCCAGGTGGGACTTACGCTGCTGCTAGAGCGAATGTTTGCAATGCTGATGGGATGTGTCCAATTCCACGGTGCAATTCTGCCCCAGGCAGCGCTCCTCCACCATTTCCCATCTGTATATACGTGCACATAAACACAGGCCTTGCCCTAAGAGCTTGGTGGTAGAGGAAAGTTATCTACACATTGTTGAGCAACACACCTCAGAAGTATCCTTTCTGAAAACCACAAGCAGAGTTCACACAGATCACAGGCGTGCCATCCTGCATTAATAAATGGCTCTTGGTAAGGCAATTAAAGCACGTGGGGCTGCATCCTTGTCTCACTGACTTGGTAGCAAAGCTGCCTGGTGCATCGAGTGGGGTCACAGGGCTGTGCTGTTCTGCTCTGTGGCACAGGGAAGACTCGCACCTCTGTGCAAAGGGGCCCATTTCAAAGAGCTTTCAACACTCTGCTTCCTCCTGGCCTCACACTTTCCCATGCAAGAGCTGCGACGGGCACGTATTGTTCTTCTGGTGGGTGCACAGATGATCACACAGTGCACGTGACTTGCTCTTTGTGCTGCCAGGCAGGGGAATGCTGCTTTTAGCTGAGCCCTTCCAAGGCAGGGCTCTGTAAATCAGCTCTTCGGCTCCAGCACAGCACTGCTCTGAGTCTCACACACAAACGTACGTGAAGAAAAGTTCTGTCTTACATCGCTGATGGAAGGCTGACGTGTACCCAGAGGTACCAGTGCTGGAGTCTGGATGATGCGTATGGTTCTGGGAACAGGCGGACCTCCTCCCTCCTGCCCCCCACAAAAGCCTTACCTGCTCTGGTGCCTCCCTTCTCCACCAGCCGTAGCAGCCCCTTCTTCTTGAGGATGACGCTGCTTCCGATGAGGAAGCTGGAGAAGACAGCCAAGCCCAGGCCAATGTAGAATCCATAACTACTTTCTAGCCGAGTGACCCAGAAGTTATCCAAAGTCCCATTGTCCTGAGCGGAGTCAGCTGGGTCAGCATCGCCGATCACCCGACACACAACCCAGTGGGAAAGGCATGAAACGGTGACCAGAGAACCTGTGAGACCACCATGGAGATAAAGCAGAAAATTACTGATATAACTACCCACAGTACCTCTGTTGCTCTTTGGACGCATTCAGATGTCCCTCTGAACTGCCAACTGTGCTGTCACCGTAACAGCACATACCTACCAGCTCTCAAAAACTCAAGGCACCTCTTTACTTGCATATGGAAATGGCAAGGTGTTGAGTGACAGATTTATGGAGTGCAATTCAAGCAGCTCATTGACACTGAATGTGTCTGCCAGTCTACACTGAACTGGAAAGCCACAAGGACCACTATAATAATGTGATTTGAATTTCCAAATGTCCGTGCCAGAGTCTTTCCACCAAACTCCAATGTTATGAGTTTGAACTATGCCTTATCAACACTCAACCTTGTTGATTCAAAGGCTTTGGTGCTTCCAGCAAACTAATTTTCGCATTGGCCAGCTTGTCTGCAGCTTACAGCTTTGGGTTTGATGTGGAGTGAAGCCAGTACTTTGTAACTGTGCATCTGTTCCAGCTCTGTGTATCGAGCAGTGCCACGGGATCGCTCGTAAAACAACAACAGGTTCGTCATGGACGAAAGTTTCACCTATATGTTGCTTCTACTGTCTAATAGTTTTATTCTACCTATTTGCAGAGTGCCTGAGTGCTCGTAAAGCATGCCGAGTCCTGCCAGTGGGGAAGGCCTGAGAGCAGACACGGGTTTTTTTGCTGTTAAGACCAAAAGCACTAAACCCTCGTGTCTCTAGTCAAGGGGTGTTGCTGTGTGTGGGTGGGAGAACTGCTGAGTTGCTTCCTACCCTTGCACTCCTACCACACCCAGCATATCTTTCTATTGCAATCTTTACTCCAAGTCTAGTAAAGACTGTGTGACTGCAACTGTGGGGAACAGAACAGCCAGGTGGAGTGTCACAAAAGTCCCTTTGTAGTAAAAGACTTTAATTTTCTGCCTGAACTCACATAGGAATTATGGAGTGGAATGACGAGCAAGTATTTGTATCTCTAAATGGCTCTCAGTACTGGGCATGGGTCCCACCTTTTTCCTGAACCAAAAGAATGGCTTAAATCTTCTGCAGCTGCACCCCCCGTCCCCTGCACATGTAGCTCAGGATTTGGATCCAAACTGGATCCAAACTTTTTCTAATGGAAAAAATTCCAGTGACTTTCTAGATGAGTTTCCAAAGGTTCCCGCTAACAGGTTTATTTTCTAATGGAAAAACATCTTTGATTGTGGAAATATTTCCTGGAGAACAGGAGGGACATCCTGCCTCCTCGGCTGGGTAAAAGTCTCCCCAATGTGCTACTGGGCACCTGCTTAAGGCGGTGGGATGGGGTGATCACCGACTGGATTAGGTAATCTTTAAAGGAAAAAAAGACAACCCTGGTGTCTCTGTGCGCGCTGCAGGGCTGACAGCGCGCAGCACTCGCTGCCGGCAGGGCAGGCTGTGTCTGCCTTGCGACAAGGGGCATTTCCCCACTCCTGCACAGACCTCCGGGGAAATAAAAAAAGAAGAAAGCCCCAACCCCCAGCGCCGTGACAGAGAACAGCCCCAAAGCCGGCGGGGAGCGGGGGGCACAAGGCCGGGGGCGCA